GTGTTATAAGAAAACTTAGTAGTTATACAAAGGCACAAGAAATGAGTTCTATGTTCGTAGACTAAGTTATATATAGAGAGCCATGATTCAATTGCGGTGGCATCGATTACTCGCCTATGAAGCTCCGGCCAGGAAATTAGCGATATCGTCTGCTAAAGCGATTATGTCAAATGTAGCATCGAGTAATAAACCGATTCTCTTTCATCATATTTGAATCGTTCGCTTGTGAATAACTGCTGCAGTTATTAAGGTTAAGCTACTTTTGATGTTTTTGTGGTGTATAAATTGATATTGTAGATATTCACAAAGTAATTTCAAGTAATAAAGCTACGTATTTTGGGGTATAAGTAAAATAAATACATACACAAGAAGCCTATGAGCCATCATATCTTACTTCTTAGTCTAAATCGAAATAGAGATAGTTATGGTGTAGTTAGAAAATTATTGAGCCAAACATCGGCGTCGGCGTCGCCGATGGCCAACCAGAACACTAGAGGTGCGATACCAGCCTTTTGGGGATTAGGAACTTGAAGATTGTTGGGGCTTCAAGGATTGGGAAGATTGGAAAGGAGGGTAATTGGAACTCCGGTAACCTCACTCACACGACGAAACAATGCAAGCGTTGTTTCACGTCGGTTTTCTGTGAGGCTATGGTATCACTCCGGTCGAGCTGGCCCCTTCGTGACGAAGCATGGCTCTCCCAACTTAGTCTTAAACTTAGCAGAAATAAAAATACTCTCGCAGAATTCTGTGTATTCAGTTATCTCAATTTTTGGCACGGAACGTAAGATTTTAAGCTACAAATCTTAGGCGAAAATTCACACATATCTTCCTAAATGTTTCCTAAAAATATGTAGGTCATACGTAAAGCTAAAGTTACCATAATTCAGGCAGGTGAGCTTGCTAAAATGAATAAATTTCTGAACATAACAATTGAGTTCGCGCAATAAAAGCAAGCGTGGAGTGCAAAGCCCGACCTCTCGTTTACTGGCTACATAGGTACTACCTACATAATATTATTACGATACGTATGTATGGTGCGAACGAGGGGTGATCATTAACCTAGTTGCACGGTTGTTACTCTCTTACGTCACAAAAAATCACCTGATTAAAAGTAAGTATAAAATTGCTGCTTGTAACCAACATTGTCGATGGTACAATGTGAATGATATTGTGTTTATTAGTAGGTGACTTTTGCTCGCGGCTCCACTAGTTAACATTAATAGATAATTTCGCAATAATATCAATCCCTTGTGGCAACATGGTCTGTCATTTACTGTTTTATGTTGTTACTCTGTTGTGTATTAAGCTGTGTTTCTGTTTTGTGTATCTATGGAATAAATAAACAATCTCATGTAATCAGAATTTGGTAAAGCATATTTGAAATAGACTGCATTATCAAAATCGATTCAGCAATTGGCTAGTTTCCTAGGTTTAAAATGAATTGTTTCAAGTTTTCAATGCAATAAAAAAATAAAATTTAATCATAGGTACTCTCATCCATTGATTTGACAATTAACCTTCTTTTGGATTTTTTCTCGCTAATTTTAAGGAAATAAGTATGCTATTTGACGCAGAAATATGAAAACGTCATAAGTTGCGATCCAATACAAAATTCCTAATATAGTATCGTTTTTGACATTTCAATAAAAGTATTAAATTTGACTACCTGTCGACCTGTCAACTACCGTATTTAGACGTAAGAGCGTAACAAATAAATAAACACTTACCTACATGGCGTTTATTACTTACACTCACATTGTACACACCATGATCTGTTTATCATTAGAAACAGTGAAAGTCCACTAAGCAGTTTGGGGAACGCGATAACGAGCTATTTTGGAAATAAGACGATTACTCCGGCCCGTTTGCCGTCCGCGAAACGGCCATCCGACACGGATTATTAATCTAGCTAAGAAAACACTGCGGACATAAAATGAGCCATTATTTTATAGCGTCGAGTTGCAGTCGAGACATAAAAGAATAATTTAATTGGCACCTATATAGAGTCCTCAGCTCCTCAGCTGGCTAATTTATTTGTTGATTATATTATCACACGTTACTATAATAAAAAATAACTTGCGTAAATATTGTAGAACATTATCTTATTTATGGTTGTGTTTCATTTGTGAGCACTTTTACTATCTAGCAAAGAAGTCGGTCAGTAATATTATTATGTTTTTCTGCATGCAATGTAAAATAATTGGCTTCCGTAATCGCGTTGTTTTTTAATTCTTCGATGTTTACATATTTCCAAAAGAACAGACAGTTTTTCATAAACATTTCACTTATTCAATAAGTACAAAAGCTCGAATAAATAAATTGGAATCCAATTCTAAAATAAACAATTCATTTGAACTATCATTTTATGGACTCCAACGGCTTGAAAATTCACAATGTACTGCAATATTTTTTGAAGGAACCTGTCATGAATTCCGAATCGAACGAAGAAAAACAGACGGACTGAGGAGAAATACAAAATTGTAAAATAGGAAATATACTCACGTAGGTTGCAAACGGGCAAAAGTACGCTAAATATTGCAAACGTTACCTCGAGTTTTGCGTTTACAGGTAGAAAAACGATAGCTCAGCAGATTTCCCCAGGTAAATATGAATTTATCATTCCCTAATGAAAAGTAAAAAGGAATTTCGACGTAAAATTGTGACGCTTCAGGCGAAAAATGGGAGTTGCTTTTTGCTGTCAGCTTGGAAATGGGTCCTTTAAATATTATTTTACAATTTAATGTGATAGTTTGAAATAGAAGCCTGAGGACATAGACATGTAAAGAGTGGGCATTTGCTTAAAATAATAGTCTTTAAAAATGCGATTTAACTTATTATTTTATGAAGATATGCTATCCAGTAAGATATAACTGAGATATTACCTTGATATAAGTACCCTGTACCTAGCAGTATTCTCTTCATTGCAAAATTAATAAGAAATCTCAGCGTATACTAACATTTTCTAAGAAAACAACAGTTAGTAAATCCTGTAGTACTTCATCCCACATCCGTGGGTAGAACTTCTTAAAACTTTATACCTCGGAGCTAGGATCATCGAGCTTCTTGTGGGTAAAGTTGCTGAATAGTTTGTTAAGTTGCGATCAGTCGCCGACTAGCATAATGAATGTGATTCATTATTTGGACTCGACACGATCGCCGCTAAAATAATTGCTCACATAAAATTTTGATCCTCTCCCTCTCGATAGTATTTAAATGTCCTACGGTCAAAGGAAACACAAATTACACAATTAACTAGTGAGGAGCTTTAACTTTAACGGACGTCAGTCGTCAAGCTGTAGTCATAGTGGAATATGTTGTCACTTACATAAAGGTGCGCCTTGTTAGTGACATAAATGTTATGACGCAACATGACATCTTTGTCGGAGGAGCAAAACTAACAAACGGTGAAAGTTCACAGTCGAGACCGCAGCGGCGATCTTTTATTTACTCATAGAGATGACTCCTGTTTCCGAACTTTTATCGGTTCTTCAAACGTCGATATTTGCTAGAAGCCGCGGCTCGAACAGCGAGCTGGGAGCCGGCAGCGCGCATCCGATATTGCGAAGGGTATAAGGCTATACCTACCGGCAAATGTTCCATGTTTTTCCACTTTCATCGTGAGTGCGTATCGTATGAAATGGAGCGGCAACTTAGGACTGGTTCTTTTTGTTCCACTTTACGCAAGTAGCCGATGCAATAATATTGCCTGAATTCCGCGGCGCTGATTAAGTCGGTTATGATAAACACTGTCCATTTTTTAATAACGTGTAAGTACGTATAATGAATCGAACACTGAAATTATTCGAATGTAATGTGAACGAGCACTTAATGATTGCGAAACTCCTTTGTAGCTTTTCTGTTTATAGCGGAGTTAATGTGGCGGGTCGCTTTGTTTACGGATGTCGCGGGGGGAATATCGTGTTTTACTTTATTCCCAAAATTCTTATCACGGTTCACCCTTTGTGATTTTATTTTGCTTTGAGGGATAATCGACATTCTGAGCCATAAAGTTTATTTGTTTTATGTTGCTCTGTGAATATCACACATGAATATCACGTATCAATATGTCGATAATACAATCAGGCGGGTGGTCCGACCTCTAGATGTAATGAACGCTATTTCCAAAATATTGATAGAAAAACTTTTGCTTCTGATTTTATTTGGAACGTAAGTAATGTTTCACCACGAATTAAGATGGATTACTTTCCATGAACATTGATTAATTGGAATTGTGAATTGATTTTAGAGGCATTGGGGACTTAGCTTTATTTTGTTATAAGTAGGTTGAGTGATTGGCAGGGACCCATTATAGACGGCCGATAATTAAATTAAGTGATTGTTTTTCTTTTACATTTCTTCTAGACATTGTCTAGTCTCTATCTTATTTATTTGAGCCACTTAAACTGTTTAGAAGTGTTGAATACTTAATAGCTTTTGTAATGTAGTGAGCAGTTTATGTGACAATAACTAAGTTGTTGGAATGAGTTTGTCGGTTTTGGTACAGCAACAGTCGCTGGATCAAACGATAAAGCTTCAGCGAACGTAATTACAAAGCGGTGTTTAGCAATGAACGTGTTTTGTAACTAGTGCTTTACCTACGGATTTTTAACAAAGTCCACCTTTATGATACTGTTCCTGACTTAGTTATTTATTTTTTATTTTTTTCTTTATGCATGTACTTATATTTTGTTTGTGTTGAATTAAACTATGAAAAAAAAGATTACCTAATGAAGTCTAGATTGGTATTCTTATACTCAATAGTGAGGAAGTTCTATATACTCTTGTGGTTTATAGCTGGTACTAGTAAAATGGGACCAGGGCATTATACAACTCGCTCCACTTTTCATCTTAACTAATATAATTTGATGTTGACACCAAAATTAGATTTTATAGTCCTATCTATCAAACTGCCGTAAACCCATTTGTAAAATTAATTTATGAAACTTATGTACAGTTGCAATAATATTCTCTTGCCATAATAATAATGAGATACGAACCTTATTATGGTGTTTTATATCCCGTAAAAATATTTACCAGTTGTCCAATTAATCACTATAAATATCACTGTTTGCGTTATTTTATGAATAATGTTCTTTCGACAAATATTTATTTTCCGATGCGACGAGAACCGCGATTCTTGCTCAACGGAGAGCGGAGAGGGTCGAGCGCGTGCTGCGCAGGAGTCGACGGTCGTGCGGACACTGCGCCGACGCCGACCAAAACCCGCCGACCGGTATGAAAGTGTGTTACATCAAATTAATATCACTTACAACGGATTGCCTTAACATTTGCCACCTATTATGTCAACTTTCGGTTTTACCGTAAACATATTATACCTGTCTCATCTAAGAATCTACTTATTTCAGTTATTACATCAATCTTGATAAGTTTCATTCATAAAAACGTTTAAGTATGGACTTTAATTCTGCATTTTTGTCAAGCGTAGCCAAATGAGACTAGAATAACAAATAACAGCGCTGATGATGACGCGAGCTCCTAATATTTAGGGTCTGACAAATTATGCGCCCTTAGTATCCGCCGCGGAGAGAAAAGTCGCGTGTCACTTTACTACTCGTATATTACATAGAACATGCCACCGCCGGTGCCGCCCATCACATAAATAGCATCCCTTCACTGATGTCATTCCTTTCTCGACGCACACAAGTATTTTTCCAAAAATATTGTGTAAACAAGTTGGTTACATCGATAACATAGATTATTCAATCGGAAAGATTTAAATTCTCATACTAGGTCTCTTGAATTAATGTCATGTTGAAAGACTCCAATCGATGCCGGAATGTTTGCGGTGGAAGGTAGCGGAATGTCAAGGGAATATTCAATGAATCCGGCTATATTCCGGATATTCGGTTCCCAATTACGATATTCTATTCTGTTTCGGTTTTTGTCGCTTTGTTTACGTGTAGCGAACCGACACTGATTCGCATAAGCGATGCGGGGGTAATCCTCTATAATACGAATTTGCCATGAGCGTGTCTCTGACATCAGGTGTGACCTTTTTCGAGGAAAGCTAATCCGTTCCTTGCCTACTGGCTTACCGACAGAACGTGGTTAGATTTAATGTGATATGCTGAATAGTTTCACAAAGGGTTTGCCAAACATTCTTGTCACAATCAAATGCCTGAGCTCTTACTATAGATTCATGTTATTTTCGTTTGTTAGTTTAGTTTCTGAAAAGTTAAGCAATAATTGTCAAAACTCAAGCTTAATTAGCTGATTGTTATGCTCAGTCTAGTAAGTCTGATTGGCAGTGGCACGGGCTGCTATACTGCAAGGTGCTGGTATATGTGTCTTGGTTCGTGAATGGGAACGGGCGATGTCGACTGGGACTGGTCAGCTCCAGACTGTATTTAATTTCTCTTCTCTTTGCTGAATGTTAGTGTTACATTGTTCTCACATCATTGAACCAACGAAACAATGTAACTAAGAATTGTACTGTAAACCTAATTGAAAAAGAGTAACATATGAATTTTCTTGCTCGTTCTTCTACATAGGAACCTACACTTTGGAACGAGCAAATAGCTTCACTAGAGGACTGACCTACACACTGACATTTTTTAATATTTCGATATTTTGTTTTGACGTTCAAAAAGTGACTTACGGGTACTTAATTGACATAACTGATTATGACTTTGACTTTGAGAGACTGTTGCTATTAAAAAAGAAAGACCTAAATTAATACAAGTTCGGTACTAAGTACTTACGACCGTTCAATGTAAGAATACATATACCTATAGTACCTACATGCGGAAATAAATCTGGTTAATATTCAATGACAAACGAAAGAAAAAGATTAGGAAAACATCAATGGGAATCTTTGCACGTGACTTCTAAACTTCTTCCTACTTTGATCGAAAACCGTGTGTTGTGTGACTGTATAAGTACCTACTATGTATTTAAATATGAAATACATAGGGGTGCGGTCACGACCATCAGTCCAGTGTATCGTGTCAAGGCAAAAAAAATATCCGCTCGATGGCGCAAAGGAAATAAACAGACTAAACGGCGCAAAGCATTTACCAACTACTACAGCACCATCTTGTATCATGTTTCAAGACATATATTTTAAGATTATAAACTAAGAAGAATAATAAGTGTGGCAGAGCCATGCTTCGGCACGAATGGGCAGGCTCGACCGCAGTGATACCACTCACCCGACGTGAAATAAAGCAAGCGTTGTGTTTCGTCGTGTGAGTGATATTATGTATTTGACTGCGTCGATTCCCGGGTAGGACCAAACATTATTGAGATACTTCTTTAGTTTTTCGTATAATTTTCAATAATGGCGCGTATGCACGGAAATCGTGTCCAGCTGACCCGACATATCTCAAGTCACAACTGGTGAGAAATGGTCGTATACCTGCAGATCAGCCTACCTCTTCAGGGTTAAAAAGTCGTGAAGTTATATCATGTATATCATGTTACACATACCTACATACTCGGAAGTTTATATTCGAATTTAATTAAAAGCGCCTACCTATGTTAAATTAAGGGATGCGTAACAAATATGTATTTTCACGTGAAACCCAATTATGGTTTAATGAAATTATATATTTCTAACGTTACTTAATTATTTGTAATTATCTGTGTGTATTTATTTCATTATATAATTGAGACGTTTTAATTTAATTAGTACCTACCTATTTTCGAAATTAAAGGAAACATCGTATTTTATTAAAATTGTATGTAAGTACATTTTTTATGGCATAAGCCAGTAAACGAGCAGACGGATCACCTGATGGTAAGCAATCAGCGTCGCCCATGGACACCTGGAACACCAGAGGCGTTACAAGTGCGTTACCAGCCTTTTGGGGATTAGGATTTTGAGGATCGTTGGGGATTCAGGAATTGGGGAGATTAGGGAAGGGGAGGGTAATTGGGCCTCCGATAACCTCACTCACACGACGAAACACAACGATAATTCAAATTCAATTTCATTTATTTGCAAGAATACATACTTACAAAGGAGGGTCGTACTGCGTTGCAAGCATTGCTTCACGTCGGTTTTCTGTGAGGCCGTGGTATCACTCCGGTCGAGCCGGCCCATTCGTGCCGAAGCATAGCTCTCCCACTTATTACGCATTTGAATGGACTAGCAGCATCAGCCTATTATAAGAGTACTAAATAGTCGGTGTTTTAATTAGGTAAACTTATTTCGTTAAACATATCCGAATAGTAAATGTGTTCAAGATCTGACTGTAATAATGGACCTCATTGTCATCATTGGTACCTATATTTCGTCCACTGATTGGCTTCTTCAGTAGCACACCACTGAGCTCTGAAAAGAAATGTAAGATATGTTTTAGAAGTGATAATAGAAGGACATAAGTAATTATTGTAAGACATTTCAATAGTCGTCAATTCGACATACCTAATATTTTCTCTTTTACAATGATAAATAGGTACCTAGTTTTGTAATTTTTACGAAGCAATAAGAAATATGTAGTACCGAATATTCTAGGTTGTTATGTAGCCATCAGTTTTCAAAGAATTCCTCCTGGTTGAGGATTCAGTACGAAGTTGCTGACTTCACTTTCTTTGAATTGTAAGTCAATTATTTACTTTAATGAAATTGTAATATTTACAAATATTTTGTTACTTAACTAGCTGTTGCCCGCGCAAACTCTATACCGGTACTGCTAATTCTAGCTACATACATACAAACTAGCTATACCCGCAACTCGTGTTTGTCGCGTAGGTCGTATTTGACGTGTTTGTCGTGTCGGTCGTGTTTGTCGTTCATATCGTGTCGGTCGTGTTTGTCGTATTTATCGTGTCAGTCGTGTTTGTCATGTCGGTCGCTTTTGTCGTATTTGTTGTGTTTGTCGTATTTATCATGTTTGTCGTATTTATCGTGTCAGTCGTGTTTGTCGTGTCGGTCGCATTTGTCGTATTTGTCGTGTTTGTCGTATTTGTCGGTTTTGTCCTATTTGTCGTATCGGTCACATTTATCGTGTTTGTCGTGTTTGTCGTATTTGTCGGTTTTGTCGTATTTGTCGTGTTGGTAGTATTTGTCGTGTCGGTCATGTTTGTCATGTCGGTCGTATTTGTCGTATTTGTCGCATTTGTCGTATTTGTCGTATTTGTGGTATTTGTCGTTTTTGTCGTGTTTGTCGTATTTGTCGTGTCGGTCGTGTTTGTCGTGTCGGTAGTATTTGTCGTGTCGGTCGCATTTGTCGTGTCTGTCGTATTTGTCGTATCGGTCGCATTTGCTGTATTTGTCGTGTTAGTCGTATTTGTCGTATTTGTCGGTTTTGTCGTATTTGTCGTATCGGTCGTATTTGTCGTGTTTGTCGTGTCGGTCGTATTTGTCCTGTCGGTCGTATTTGTCGTGTCGGTCGTATTTGTCGTGTTTGTCGGTTTTGTCGTATTTGTCGTATCGGTCGTATTTGTCGTGTTGGTAGTATTTGTCGTGTCGGTCGTGTTTGTCGTGGCGGTAGTATCTGTCGTGTTTGTCGTGTCGGTCGCATTTGTTGTATTTGTAGTGTCGGTCGTATTTGTAGTGTCGGTCGTATTTGTCGTGTCTGTCGTATTTGTCGTGTTTGTCGTGTCGGTCGTATTTGTCGTGTTTGTCGTGTTTGTGGTATTTGTTGTATTTGTCGTATTTGTCGGTTTTGTCGTATTTGTCGTGTCGATCGTATTTGTCGTAATTGTCGTATCGGTCGTATTTGTCGTGTCGGTCGTATTTGTCGTGTCGGTCGTATTTGTCGTGTTTGTCGGTTTTGTCGTATTTGTCGTGTCGATCGTATTTGTCGTATCGGTCGCATTTGTTGTATTTGTCGTGTTTGTCGTATCGGTCGTATTTGTCGTGTTTGTCGTGTCGGTCGTATTTGTCGTGTCGGTCGTATTTGTCGTATTTGTCGGTTTTGTCGTATTTGTCGTGTCGATCGTATTTGTCGTATTGGTCGTATTTGTCGTAATTGTCGTATCGGTCGTATTTGTCGTGTCGGTCGTATTTGTCGTATTTGTCGTATTTGTCGGTTTTGTCGTATTTGTCGTATCGGTCGTATTTGTCGTATTTGTCGGTTTTGTCGTATTTGTCGTATTTGTCGGTTTTGTCGTATTTGTCGTGTCGATCGTATTTGTCGTAATTGTCGTATCGGTCGTATTTGTCGTGTTTGTCGTATTTGTCGTATTTGTCGTATTTGTCGGTTTTGTCGTATTTGTCGTATCGGTCGTATTTGTCGTATTTGTCGGT